GGGAGGTCCGTGAGGTAAATTCACCCTCCTTCTTCGATGTACCGCCGCGGCGGGGCACAGCGCCAGCAGGCTTTCATACACGACACCCCCCTCTCGTCGGCGAAACCCCAGCGTGCGTCGCCCCCGACTCGCGGGGGGTGATGGATGTCATGCGGACATCTACCGTCCATGAAGTACTACCGGACCGATTGCTGCCACGCAAACAACAAGGAGGATGACCAGCTTCTGGCTCATCCTTGTGAAACGCAGCCCCTGCACGAGCGAAAACTCCCAAGATATCGCCGAGTCCCGGAATTTCGTAGGCATGCGAGGTCAATAGTCTCACGACTACGGCATGCGTGTACACTCCCCCCGACCTCCCCCCCTCCCGCCAGAGCCCTCACCTGACGCGACCGAGCACGGTGGCCTTCGCCCGCTCGTCTGCGGTCCCCGCGAACCGCAGGCCGAGGCACAGGCAACCCCCCGCGATGATGTTGGCGTGGGCCTGTCGGATCGTCTGCCTGTCCACCACCGAGCTTAGCTCCTCGGGGAGGGGCTCGTTCAACCGCGCGTACTCCACCGACACCACCTGGGGGATCTTTTTTTTTTTGTCGAGAAAGAAAGAAAGGGAGAACGAAAAAAAAAAAAAAAATGACGAGAATGAAGATACCGTCATCAACGTACCGGTGGATGGTGGTGGAGCACGGCGAGAGGGGCAGCACCAAATTCCGGCACGTGTTTAGAGCGGCTACAGTAGAAAGCTTCTTATAGTAGTCGCTCAACGTTTGTCCCTGCCGCCGCGTTTACACCCTTGACGACCCAAACGGTCACGTAGCAATGATTGAGCGAATCACACACTGGGAAAAAAGTTATGTAAATGAACAAATCACACACTGGGAGAAATGTTATGTAAATGAACAAATCACACACTGGGAGAAATGTTATGTAAATGAACAAATCACACACTGGGAGAAAAGTTATGTAAATGAACAACCTTAAGGTCCTTCAATTAAACTTCAAAAGCCTCAAGAATAACGACGTACAGCTTTCTACGAAAGCCTTACCTTGGTTCCGTTTCTTCCATCTCATCTAAAGACTCACACGGATGAACGCACGAGAGCGAATGCAAAAGATGAGGCGTAGGTTTACAGCCCCGGCCCCAACGCCCGAAGCGAAGAAAGAAGATGAGGCGTACAGCCGTAGGCAGACAGCCTTCGCCCCCGAACACACACCTGAGACTCAATCCAGCCATCCGTCGGGTGCACCTCGTCCCACATGACGAGTCCCTTCACCGCCACCCGCAAGAGCAGCTGCTCGGGCCGCGCGTAGTCCAGCTGGAAGTGCGTCTGCGGCAGCGCCAGCCTCGCCGCCAGCGCCTTGTCCCCGGACCTGACGTGAATCAGGGCTAGCGCCAGAAGCGCCGCCGGCGCGGTGACGTCGGTGTTGACGTACTCGCCGGCGCTAATGCGGCTCGGGCCCGTGGACTCGTGGCCGCCCCCGCCGCCGCCGCTCGGGCCGTTGACTGCCCCGCCGCCGCCGCTGCCGCCACCACGCCCCCCCGACCCCTGGGAGGAAAAGCCTCCACGGTTTCCTGGACCGGATGCATCGCCGCCGCCGGCAGTGGACGGTTCCTTGCCTCCGCTCATGTAACTGTGGGACAGAAAATCGGATTTCGTTGTTATCGTGCTCGAAGAGGGGGTGGGTCCATCGCTACATCGCTATGAACACTGTACACGCCACAGCGGTATGCTGATCGTGATACGGCTACGGCGGCGACGCTGCGCTAACGCGGGTGTACCTGAGCTGCGATTTTCAAGTGAGATAAATATACTCTGAAAGCAAAAAATACGTCGCGAGAGCGCCCACCATCCCAAAACCACGAACAAACGCCAGTTTCCTACCGTACTGAACTTGCAACATAAATCTACCATCGTCCAAGGGTCTCATCACCGCCCGACGGCACCGCCGTCGCAACACAAGCCTGGTGCGCGCAGCCATTGGCTCTTCTCTCCTCACCGTTGAAGCTGCTGCTCGAGCTTCAGGTCTGCCACACCCGCCATGCCCCCGCTAGCACCCTTGCCGAGGTTAATCATCCCGAGGGACAGGCCGCACGCGAGCGCGTATCCCTCTCGGTCGGCGAAACGGTCGCTGCAGGGTGCCCTGAGGAAAACGCGGTCGATATTAACCAGCGGCGTTGTGTGTGTGCCGTTAGCCGGCGAAGGTTGGTTCGCACGGGGACCGGCGGGGAAGAGCAAAGGAACGGGGGAAGCGGTGGGCATGTTTTGATGGCAGGGCAGGCGTCGGGCGTACCGTACATCGTTGACGGGACAAGAAAGGCACTTCTACATGAACAAGAAACGTTAAGGCTCAACAAGGGGGGTGGGACTGAACCAAGAGTTTGCATGATGCGGAGCCCCTTTTGAGGGGCCGGGGACCTGTGCCGCAGGGAAACAACTCAATCGCATCGACCCATCTTTCGATCGACAACACGAAAGAACACTCTTCGCGAATGGGCTAAACGCTGTTGAACTTCGTCGCTTTCCCACCCCACCGGCTATCACACACTGACGCATTGTACGGAACCCTCGTTTGCACCACGGCACGTCCGTACCACCGCCGTGCGTCCCATATGTTCTTCTTCCTCTCACCTCCCCATCTCGCCGAGGAGAAATTCCGTCATCAGTCGGTGAGAAGTACCCTGCGACGAGCGGTAGCGACACGGGGGGCGGGGGGGGGGGGGCAAGGGACTGGGGNGGGGGGGGGGGGGGTCAAGGGACTGGGGACATACACGCTCCACCCACTGCTGGACATGATGAGACGTGCTCGTTCTTCTCACTCATAACGGTAGCCGAGACGATCCGCGCTCGAGTCGCCTCTATCCGTCGAAGCAGGCAGCAAAGGGCAAACAAGCGACTGACGGCCGCATCGCGTCAACGCGGTCTGGTCCTTTCTTTGGGGGTGCAGACTACCTCTCACTTTTCTAGCTTGTCAGGGCACGTGCGTGCCGTGGCGAATGCGGCAAGATTGTGCCTACGCTAGATTGGTGTTGTGGTGCGCACGACGGATCATACCTGGTAGAGCAGGCCGACTCCCGCCAGTGCGGCCGCTTGGGTAACGCTGCTCGTGTCCATGTCGGCGAAGGGGTGCGGGAGAAGGCTGGGTACGTGCAGGCAGAGCATCTGAGCGAAGGCGAGGACAAACACACCCAGTACGGTAAGAAGCACCGGGGGGTGCGAGAGAGAGAGAGAGAGAGAGAGAGAGAGAGAGAGAGAAAGAGAGAGAGAGAGAGTGAGTGAGGGAGAGAAGCTGTGTTGTAGCAAGGTAGGGTCTTGACCACGGGAGAGAGATTGGCGGCAGCAAGGCGCACCCCACACCCTTAGAAACCGCTTCATGTCGGGCGCAGGTGTTGCTGGCAATATTCACATGCGCAAAATTGAAAATTGGGCCCAGCGTATTGAGTCGAGCGTAGCTGGCACAGCCGGCTCCTACAAGTTGGAAGCGGCAGACAAGCAAGGAAAGCAAGAGCTGGGTGCGAATATCACGAGGAGTCACGGAAACCCCTAAGGTGTGCGCGAAAGCAGAGACGGAAGCGTGCGCTCCCTGGTCCGGCGCTACGAGTCAAAACTGTCAGCGCCCTCGCGCGAACCTTGTAAATAGCCAACGAATGAAAGAGAGTTCATCACGGTCAACGCAGCTCGCGACCTTAAGCAGAAGCTGTCTTTGTGACCCCCCTATGGACACTCTTGCTAACAACAAGAGCTGTGTTGACACACATCAATCTCGCAAACACCGAGGGGTGTGCCCAATCTCTACGGCTACGCCAGGCAAAGACCACCACAAAACACAAAAACAACAATGATAACAACCACAACCTTCCCCCGTAATGTCAATTCTCTTCACCTTGTGCGTGGACAGATCCGCGGAGCCCCTGCGAGCGGCCGCCATCCCGAGCAACACCCCTACCGTCGTGCTCTCCTGGCCGAGCGTGAGGTACTCGAACACGTCCGTCATCGCCAAGGAGGACAGGTGTCCTTGCAGCCCGAGGGCCATCAGCAGGCCGCCGTGGGCGTTGTTGGCGCCCCCGGCCGGCCTATTGTACGTGATCCAGGTCCTGCTTACGACGCCCTCCTCGAAGCCGCTGCTCGCGGCGACCCCGCTGCCGCCGCCGCCGCCGCCGCTGCCATCCTTACCACTCCTGGCTCTGTTGGACCCCCACTCGTGCTGCAGCCTCAGTCCCGCCGCAACGCCGTTGTGGAACTCCGCCCACGCCGTCGTGTCGGGGGGCACCGCGGCGGCGGCCAGGTCAAGGTTGACCACGACGTCTGCCGGCTTCCGGATGCGCCCCGCGAGGCAGAGCGGCGGTATCGGCAGCGGCTCCGCCAGGAGCGGGGCCAGCGTCCCCAGCGTGAGCATGCCGCGGCCCAGGGGCCCCGCCAGGGTACGCATGGCCAGCTGGAGCAGGCGCGCCTGCTGGCGCTGCTGGTGGTCGTGGTCGCTCGACTCCGGGGACCGGTCAACATGGAATCGGACGGGCCGGGACCCGCGCAGGAGCCGACACGCCTCCCTTACCCGCCGGTCGCGCCCGAACCGAAGCGACGACAACTCGTCCACCCACGCCAGGCCGTCCAGATCGGTAGCGTCTCCACCCGCGCCTAGCGGCGATGCCGCCGCGGCCGCAGCAGCGGCAGCAGGGCCACCGCCGCCGCTGCCGCCGCCTGCCTGCCCCAAAGCCCCCCCGCCTGCACGCCTGCCCGCCCCTCTACCCGTGCCGTCTCTGGCCCCCGCGCCGCTGCCGCTGATTCTCCCGCCTGTCCAGTAACCCTCTGTCTCGCCGAAGCCACCTCCTTCCTCATCGTCGTCGTCGTCCTCCTCCTCCTCACAGACCGAGTCGCCGCTGCCGCTGCCCCCATCGACGAAAGACCCGAGCATTCGACGCAGGGCGCTGAGGTCCTGCCGCCCCACCAACTCCTGCGCAGCGGCCGGCCACTCCACGAGGGCTTGGCTGCTTGCCGCGTGGAGCACCTCCAGCAGGGGAAGGGTAAGCCCCAGGGGCGCACGCTCCAGGTCCTCCGCCCGGTAACCTTCCTCGACCATCGCCGCCACGAGCCGAGCGCCGACCCAGTCCGACTCGCGGAATCCCGGGCCGGGGAATGAAGCCCCGGTTTCACCCCCGGCACCCGCCGGCGCCGCCGTCCCTCGTCCCGCCCCCTGCTGCTTTCCGACACCGGCGCGGGCGCCGCCATCACTGCCGCCGCAAATGATGGTATAGAAGCGGCAGAAGCGGCGAGTCGCCTGGAGAACACCGCTGTCCTTCGGGAGGGTCGGAAACTGCCCGCCTTCGCCGCTGTACCGCGGGCCCCCCGCCACAGGCAGCGGTCCATCGGCGGGATCGGCGCCATTCGCCACTTTCCCCGTGCGAATCCTCGCGTGCACCCAGCTTCGGAAGCACGGTACCTGTCACGTACGGGGGCGGAGAGGACGGGAAAGAGGAAGGGGATTTCGGGACGTTGTGCTCAATGATATCCTCGGCTTTGTTGTGAGGGTGTGCTACAAATAGGCCGACAACTTCTGTATCCGAACTCCATCTTTGCCCAAAAGAGTCCAACAACAAGAGGGTCGGATAAAAAGATATATCAAGAACAGCAGCGGACAGGTGAGCCGAAATAACGCGAGGTTGGAAAAACGATCTCCTATCCATCCACGACATGCCTGCGGGACGTCTCTGCACACATGGATAAGAGCGTCTACCGAGCGACAAGGCGTGAATGCAACCCCAGCCGCACGCAAAGACGCGCCAATTGCGGCCTTCACGCCGCGATCAAGCTCCCGCGGGCGGTGCGCCTGTGACATTGTGCTCGAAGCTGCCACCCATACCTTATCAAACCTAGTCGGACGATTCGGCAGCCCCCCCGCTCCCGTCTCCTTCCGATGAGCGGCACCACCGTCGCTGCGATCGATCATGGACGTCCTCTCGCCAACCCCGTGTCCACACCCGGCCGCGTCCCTCCAGTAGTGGTCCGCGAAGTCGCGCATCCCGGTCCCGCCGTCTCCGCACATACGGGATATCGAAAGCAGCAGGGAGGCCAGGCGCGGCACTAACGACGTCGTGAAGCGGGAGGTCTTGAGGTCCTCGAGCACGAGATGCAGCGCGTCAAAGACCGCGCCGGCTTCCAAAAGGAAATCCGATCTTTGCGTTTGCAGCACATGCCGCTGTTGCTGTCGCTGCGCAGAGGAAAAAGCCAAAGAATCACCACGCGGCCGCCCATTGACAGTAGTCAGCTCGGTCGCGTGGTGAAATCCCGAGAGCATCATCGCGTTGGCACGGGAGAACTCTTCGTGGAACGGGCTCGCCAACAAGCACTCCCAGTCATCACCATCGCCGCCGCGGTCGGCGAGGTCTGCGCTCTGTCCGGATAGAGATGTGTGTGCAGACTCGTCCGTGCCCGAGACGAGTTCTCGCAAAACCGACACCAACGCCGCCCAGTCAAGGTCACCGTCGACGCTGTCTTTGTGACCCTTCTCGTCGCCGCCGCCGTCGCAGTCGCCACCGCCGCCGTCGCTACTTCCCCAGCCCGTCCCGGCCCCCTCTCCGCGAGGTCGCTCCCCTTGCTCCGCTAGGCAGTGCGCCGCGCTCGCAATGTCCGCTCGGAGGGATGCCGCAAGCGGGGCGCCCAGCAACGAGTCCCAGGCACCCAGACACGCGGACACGAGCGGTGAAGAGGGGTCCAGCGATAGACGGAGCCGTCGTCGTTGCCCGCCCCGCGTTGTCAGGGTGAAACAGGAACCAACAGCCTCGGAGATAGACTCGGGCTCGCCATTGCTGCTGGCTCCATCAGATAGTCCCGCTACGGCTGGACGCGCAACCCGCGTGACGGGTCTCCCGCCACGATACAGGGTTAGACTTCCGTCAAGCCCAAGGACAAGAATATCTGCGGAAATCGCTGCCCCCGGGGTTCCTTCTCCCTCTCCGCCGCCCGTGGCGCACAGCCCGACCGCCGATCGGCACGGCAGCGTGAACGCCTCCCTGACTTCAACGCCCTCGCCGCCGCCGTCGCCGCCGCCTCCTCCAGAGAAGGACACAGAAAGAGCGCGTAGTCTCGCGGCTTGGCGTTCGACGAAACAGAGCAAAAATGACCCCGAGGACGAAGGGCTAGCGCTCCCGGTCGCAGCGCTCTCACCGGATGCCTCTCCCTCCGCGCAAAAAACGTGCTGCGCCGGCGCCGGCGAGCCCTCCGCCTCCCTCCAGACGAGCGAGATCCCGAGGTGCGGGCGGATAGGTTGAGCCCCCTCTTTCTCCTCCTGCTCGTCGTCATCGTCCTCCTCCTCATGGTGCACCACAGCCCCGCCGAGCGCCATCGAAGAGCTCGCGTTGAGAAGGAATGGGTCCGCGCCGCCCGCGCGCTCGTGGTGCCCGGCCGGGGCGCTCAAGGAAAGTATGTTCGACGCCACCCCTAGTCCCGACTGGCCGAGGCCTAGGGCGCTTGCAAGAGCTTCATTGCGGGTGTTGCCCGCTCCGATCCATGACGCGTTGCTCCCGCTAGACGCCCGTCGCCCGGCCCCGCCGCCTCCGCCACCGCCGCCGCCGCCGCCGCCGGAGAGTCGACCCCGTCCCATGCTTCCCCCGGCGCTGAGCCTGTCTCTGCGAGGGTTTCCAGCGTCCAGGACGGCGTCCATCATGGTGACTCCCGCAGAAGAAGACGGGGATTTCAGTGCCGAGACTCCGAGGAGCGTGCTGCTCAGGCTACTCGTGTCCACCGCACGGGTCGACGATAGGCCGGGCGTCGTGGCCCAGCTGCGGACTCCTCCCCCCGGCGACTGACCAACCATCATGGAGCCCGAAACCGAGATGCCCCCCGCCGTGGCCAGAAGAGACTCGGATTCCTCCTCCGGCTCCGACCCCTTCTCTGGCTCAGGCACGGGAGTTGCTAGCCACAGGGAGTGCCGTCGGCGCCCCGTGTGGTACGTCAAAAGAAGGGAAGTGTCTCGTCCGGTGCCCCCGTCACCGCCGCCCCGCGCGAAAACTACGTGCTCGGAAGCGTCACAGACAAGGCGTTGCTGCTGCTGCTGCTGCTGCCTCTGCTCGGCTTGAGCCGCCGCCTCAGCGGACGGGGGGGGCGCAGGCGAACTAGCACCGCCATCGCCACCGCCGCCGCCAAATTCGTTGCTCCGTCTTGCTGATACCGCCGGTGGCAAGAGTGCGACGGGCCTAAGCTCGTCAAGCGGGTGCAAGAGGGTAAACAGGGACGGCACGGAGAAAGACGGGTCCAAGCCGTCTTCCTCCTGCTCTTCTTCCTCCCCGTAGGCCGCGGCGGAAGAGAATTCGAACTCATCGCCACCGCCGCCGCCCCCCGCATATCTCTGCACCAGCAAGCCCTCCCCGAGAGACTGAAGGAGGCGGGCCTCGCAGGGCAAGGTGACGTCGTGTGAGTCCCCCCGCGGGTGATGCACCGTCACCAAGTCCGGTTGTCGCAGGATGCACACCGACCACGGACCCCTCCGCCGCCTCTGCCGCTGCCGTCGCCGCCCATCCACCTGCACCGCTCCCTGCCCCCCCTGGCGGATCGAGCTCCACCCCTCGAGGAGCGTCGGAAAGCGGCACCTCACGACTTGGGTGATGGTTCCGTGAACGCCTGCTCCGGCACCGCCGATCCCGCCGCAAGCGCCGCCGCGCAAGCCTCCTTCCAGCGCGGCCGTCGGCCCGAGCACTACAGAACGGAAGGAGGTGTGCGCAATCTGACCTCCCAGGCTACGCCAGACGGCGGAGGTACTCGAAGCGTCCACGAACAGCTCTTCCTGCGCCGCCGGGTCGGCCGGCCTGCGGCCGCCGCCGGACGACGCGGGGCCTCCTCCCGCGTGCCCTCCGTCTGTGCTCGAGAGCACCATGCAACTTGGCGCCGGCAAAGGGTAAGGGCCGAGATCTTGGGCGTGCACTACTACCGCTGCTGCTGCCGCTGCTGCTTCTTCTTCTATCATGGGTGCGGGCGGCGTGGTGCTGTAGATCCCATCGTGGTGTGGGTGCTGCATGGTGTGCGCAGCAGCAGTGCTGCTGTGGTCAACCGCACCAAGTAGGCAGGTTCTTGCCGTCTCAAGTTTAAATTTCAGCCGCTGCTGTGTTGCAAAATCTCTGTCAAAAGTCACACCAACAAGCGTGTCACTCCATTGGAACACAAGGATCAGGGTTGCTGCTAAGAGCAAAGACTTTGGAGATGACTTGCAAAGGAAACGACGATGTCGTGCGTCGTGCCGCCACCAATTGAGAGAGGTGCGGTGCAGGGTCCTTGAACACTTGTGCGGTGCAGCAGGGGGCTCGACAGCTACGGAACTTGTGGGGTGATCATACAATCTACAGGGACTCCGTAGCAGGTCAAAAGGGTCAACTGCTGTGGGTCGGTTGGTTGCGCTGCGAGTCGTTCCCTGTCAGCCAATTTGCTCTTGCGGCGTGACACGTGTGGGCCCTTACATGCATCTCCAAGCGTGAACCCGCTTTCGGCCAGGTGCCAATGGTGTCGGTGTACCCGGGAGGAACACAGCACGTGCAGGACAAGGGTGATCAATCATAATGGCGGTCCCACCCGCCCAGCAGCAGAGCGGCGTTGAATCTAATCAGCAGTCTGCTACAGGTACTCTGTCGGACCTTGTGAAGGACATGGTGAAGGAGATGGACGGGGACGACTTCTACTCGACCACGACGGACTTGTATGACGAGTCTGCAGAGGTACAGAGCGCGCTGGTGCTGAATTTATTTCGAACTGATTGATTCCCCTCTTGCTTATTAGTCTGCTGCCTCATGTCAAGAAGTATTATTTTTGAAGGTTGAGTATCGCGACCTCTGTTAGCCGGGAGCATACATTTGGTATCGCGGGAGATGTCTAGCAGCAAGTGCCGCGCTAGCAGCACGTCGTCAAAGCCTGTGAAGCCCCGAAATACGAGTATCCAACTCTGCGCTTGCCGTTCCCACCACAAAGCCGTGTGCCACTTGCAAATGGTAGCTGTTACCGTTTGGTACGGCAGCCAGTGCGACTCTTTTACCTCTCTCTGCCCGTGCACCGAATTTCTGCTGGAACACTTCGTGTTTCCCAGCGTATGACCAAAGTGCTACATGACATGGATGTTGATCCAGACAAGTTTCAAGTTAAAATCCGTGTGACGCGTTTGCGGAATTCGGACTGGGTGGGAGTTGATAAATAATTAATTTTCCTGCGGGCTTGTCGAAAAAATTAATTATGATCTAAAGTTGCTCAAGTAGCTCCTGGCATAGACATGTGTACACGTGGAACTGGCCGTTTGGACCCTATTTCTTGTCTGCATCGTTCGGGCAAGAGCCAGTGACTTCCATGAAATATTCTTATTGTAAACTCGCTTTTATTATTCCCTCCCACGACAGGAGCACTGGTTCAAAATCGACATCACCCTTGAGCCCGACGGCGAGGGCCTAGCCGCCGGCGAAGATCCGCCGCCGCCCATCCATGCGGCATCTCTACGCAAGCCATGGTCGGAGTTCCAGCGGCTACACTACCTCCTTCTCGCCGATGAGTTCGGCTGCGATGAGGCGGTCAAGGAAAAGCTACCGGCGCTTCCAGCCCGCCCCCCTACAGCAGTGGCCAGGGGCGGTGTCGCAGGCATCAGCAGCTGTGGCAGCGGCGGCGGCGGCAGCGGCGGCGGCGGCGGCGGGGGCAGCGGCAGCACCGATGGCAGCTTCGGCAGCAGCAGCGTAAACAGCAGCAGCAGCGCTGAACTTGCTCAAGGTCTCGATGCCTACCTCAAGGCGCTGTTGACTGTGCCTGCCGTCATTCAAAGCCAGGTCTTCAGCGGTTTCCTAGCAGAGAGCGGCGGCGGCGGCGGCGGCGATGGTTCGGCCGGGGCTTGCAGCGCTAGCGAGGAAGCGCGGAAGAGCCCCGAAACAGCGATCGATTTCCTGCTGCAGCCGTTCGAGTACGGCAGGGCGTACGTGCCGCGGCGGGCGGAGCACACGGAGAGCATCGACGTTCTCCGCGGCGAGAGCGTGGTGTGGAAGTTCGAGGTGCTGGACCACCTAGACATCGACTTCTCGGTCACGTTTCGACCCCACCCGCTGGCGGCGTCCTCCCGCAGGCCGCTCGAGGCGGACGAAGACGGCGGCCGGCCACCGACAGCGGAAGAAGCAGAAGACCTCGGTGTTCTCGACACTGGAGTGGGCTTGGCGAGTAGTCCGGGCCCCAGAGGCGTCGGCAACGGGGGTGTAGCTGCGTCATCGGCGAACGGCGACAGCGGTAGCACCGAGGCCGGGAGGAAGCGTTCGAGATGGTGGAGCAGAAGCGGCGGCTGCGGAGGTGCGGCGGGGGAAGCAGTTGGTGGGACTGGAGTAGGGGCCGTGAGCGCGCCGAAGGGTGAGACCGTGCACCTGCCGACGAGGTATTCTACTGGGGGGGGCGATCCGGTGCAAGGGAGCTTCAGCTGCCCCGCGGCCGGGACGTGAGTATCTGCTGATGTCTACTATGAATTATGCTTGTCATGGTGTGACCGCTGGGTTCGGTTTTCTCCCTCCCCTTAACAAGCCGCATGGCTGCCTTCACACGACCGACTCACGTCAGATGTTCCGAGACCCCTTCGCCTCCTTCTGGGGGTTTGTTATTTTCCTGTTGTTATCGAGCGCGTCAATTTTGCGAGTAACTCTTTGCCCTCAAGGTCTCTGTCGCCGCCGCCCTTTCATTGCCGAATGATCCCGACGGCAGAAGCGGCCGATTGGACCCCATTTCGACCCTTTCTTGAAGTCGAATTTCCTCGTCGCGCACAGGTGCATACTGCGTTGGGACAACGCCTTCAGTCGATTGCGCGGGAAGCGACTTTGCTTCGTGTTTGAGTCTGTCACCGTGCAGACGATGCAGGCGGCCATCGAGGCCGCGGGCGCGGCCGATCACAAGAGGCGCGCCGCGCGTAGCGCGGCAGCGCAGACCATCCTGGACAGCGGGCGGGGCGAGGTCAAGGTCTGCGTGACGGCAGTCGGGGCCGCAGATGACTATAGCGGCGGCGAAGAAGACGGGAAAGAAGGTAACGACGGCGGCATTTACTCTGTGAGCGCCGGAAGCTCCGACGCGATCTACTACAGCAGCCTCTACAGGTTCGGGCGTGTCCGGAGGGTAGTGGCAGGTCTGCTGCGAGATCTCGGCGGCATGGTTGATGTTACGAGAACCAGTGGCGGAATCGACGGTGCTGCTATTGCGGAAAGCGGCCGTGGCGGTAGCGGCAGCGGTAGCAGTGGCGGCAGCGCCTTTGACGTGGGAAGAGGTTCTGCGGGGAGGGGCGACAGGTACGGGAACGTTAACGCGGAGGGCGTTGCCAAGCTCGTGGCGCAGTTTGAGCTCTTGGAGGACGAGGTGGCCTCGGTCTCGGCTCGGCGGGCGCAAAGTGAGGCGCAGGCGAAGGTGCTGCTCGCGAACCTGCAGAAGTCCAACGCTAGGACCGATAGGTATTTACACGGACTGGTGATGCGTAGACCCCAGGCTGGACTTGCGGTAAAAAGATGCCTTGATAAGCGTTAACGGGGATGTTTCCGCGTTTTCGAAAACGGTTATAACACACCATATTTTCCGTGCGGTTCTCCGTCAGCTTTGACGAATCGGTACCCGCTGGTCCGTTCGCTCGGTTTCACATATGACGGCAACGTGGAAGCACTTCGTGTAACTTGGTGTGGTTGATTTTTTTCGAACCTGACTTTGACTTGTTGAGCAGTCGGTGCAGCTTTTTTGTTGTTAGTGCCAAGGAACCTCATGAGCCTACCTTCTTTCGAGAGGTGAAGAACAACCAAGACGTGATGCTTCGAACCCACCGAACTGCTAAAGTCCTCGCCCTCCTTGGCCGGCAAACCGCGACGACTCGTCTTCTGTTTTTTCCTGGAAGACTCGAACGAAGCCTCGAGGAGACGCGGGAGGACCTCTCGACGGTTCGCGAGACCCTGCGCGAGACCGAGACCGCTAGGGACGAGGCGGCGGCGGCCGCGACGGAGGCCGGCGCCAGGCTGCAGACGTCCGAGGAGCAGCTTCTTCGCGCGAGACGGCAGCACAACCTCCTGCAGGCCGAGCGGAGCGTGTGGCACGTCGCTCGGAGCGGCATCCAAGAGGAGCTGGCGAAGGTGGGGTGGTGGCGATGAAGGTGTTCGGCTCTCACGCCTGTGCCTGCAAGCAAGCAGGCTTGGATGTGCCGTGTGGATATTTTGTTTCCATCGACCGACGACCGATCGATGTTTGCACGACCGCCACTCCTTGCCCCTCGCCCGAGATGCAAAATCCAATGCGTCTTGTCTGTTCGAGATCATGTTGCAGCTCCGCGCTATCATGAGTTTCTCCGGGGGAACTCAATTGCGAACCACTCCACGCCCATTAACCTCCCGCGCCCCAACCCGCCGCATTCTCGACGACCCCTCGGAAATAGGTTGTAGCCGAGCTGGAGCAAGAGCGACATCGCCACGAGGACACGAGCCGCGCCCTCGCCAAGTCCCACGAGTCCCGCGCGCACGCCGAGGCGGAGGCGGCGCGCCTGTCCCGCCGGCTGGAGGAGGAGCGCGGGGGCGCCGGGGGCGCCCGGGCGGCCCTCGCGGCCGAGCGCGAGGCCTCTCGCCTCGCCCGCGAGGAGGCCGAGGACGCCCGCACCGCCGTCGCCGAGCTGGACGCGGCGGTGGCGGAGCTGGGGGCGCAGAAGCGCGTGCTCGTCGCGGGGCTCCGCGCCCGCGAGCGGGCTTTGGGGGACCGCTGCGCCGGCGCCGAGGCCCGGGCCGAGGAGGCCGCGATGATGCGCCGGGCGGCGGAGGCCCGGGTGCGGGAGCTGGAGGAGGAGGCAGAGAGGCGGGAGGCGGCCCAGGCGGACGGGGAGGTACGGCTGCAACGCCTCCGGGCCGAGAAGAAGGTTCTTCTGGCGGAGGTTCGGCGGGGCGCGGGGGGGGAGGGAGGGGGGGCTGCTGCGGGGGTGAGCGCCGGAGGGGACGGAGGGAAGGAGAGCGAGGGCGTCGGTAGCTTGAGGGGGGTTGTGGGGGATGACGCGCGCGGCCGAGAAGGCGCTGGTGGCGGCAGCGGTGGCAGCAGCCGTAGAGGTTCTCTCTCGCCGCGATCTTCCGGCAAGAACGTCCAAGATAACAAGGCACGCCGTTGAAGCATTCACCGTACCTAATGTCGACGATTTCTTGCTCGCGTATTATAAAGACACCTTCCGACCTCGTCGCTCGAGGAGAAGCACCTCTCAGCCTCGGCTACTCTTTCGCTGCCAAGGCCCCTTCGTTATCGTGTGGGTTTATGCGCATGGGGGTACGGTAGATTGCAGCCCTTTCACCAACACCAACAGTGTCGCCGTGCCTGCACTTGTGTCGTCCGTTGCTTGAGCTAGTGTTGGATCGTTTGCCAGTGTAACTGCCGTTCGCAACTGCAAAGTAACACGCGGCGTCCGCCTGAACCTGACAGACCCTCGTGCGTACCCCTCATTTGGTGCGGCGCCCCCTTGCGTCGGGGTCGGGACCGTTGCTGCCGTCGACGGTTTGCTTCGCGCTGCAGGCTACGCTGAAGCAGCTGTCCAGGCAGCTGGTGAATCTGAGGGAGCGGCAGCACCACTTGCGGGAAGATCTTCGCGCAGACCCGTCCAACTCCAGGTAGGCAGTACGGCTTGCACATCGTAGCACTGGTTGGTTGTACTTGTACACACTCTTGCACCGCCTGGTGAAAGCTAGAATACTCCATATGTCGTTACATAGCTACTCAAGAGAAGGTACCTTGTGCACAAAGCTTGCTTGTATGCGTCGCGGAAACGAGCTACTGCTGCAATGTCAAGGCAGTATGGTGTATGAGATAAACAATGTAACGCATTGAGTATTGTTACGTATTTTCATTGTTGATCTTCTGACCAGTGGTGCGCTGGTCGTCTCCTCAGTACAGGGAGAGACCATGGTGTTTGTCGCCACCTGCGGACTGTGACGGTCGTTCTAGCAGTGCACAACAGAGTGCTTGGAATGCTCGGTCGCTCATAAAAATCAGGACCTGTGTCCAACAGTCTCCAGCACCCCCCCGCCCCCCCCCCCCCCCCTTTTCCTGTTGTTCTTGACGGGGCCACAGCGCTTTGAGGCTGGAGGCGGACGTCGACCGAGCTGTACAGAACCTCGAGATGCGCATTCGGCGATTGTTGTCTATCGTGTCTGGAGGGGGTGATGAGGACGATTTGTCCACGAGCTCGTCGCCGTCGAGGCCTACGTATAGGAAGGGATATGCTTCTCCCGTGGAAAGCCAAGGGGCAACGGCAGCGGCGGCGGCAGTCGCAGCAACAACAGCAGCAATAGCCGCAGAGGCTGAGGCTGAGGCACCGGCAATAGAGGTTGAAAGGCACGATGTTTGAAAATGGGGGCGTGAATCAGCAGATATAGAGGTGGGACCGTTTAAGTAGCAGTGGCTAGTGGACGGTGGAGGGAGAGAGGTTGGTGACGGTGGTATGGTTGTTGATAGGATGTTTGTATGTACAGAACGTTCCTCGTGGAGAGTACGTATGCGGATATTCTGATCAAGGACCACCGGTGTTAACGAAGGGCGCGGTGATCCGGTGTACGATTTTGCGGGAGCGCGCTACACTGTATTACCCTTGTCACAGAATGTTACCATGCCTGGGGTGACTAATACCTGTTGGTGGAATGTGCCTCTGTGTATCCATTCGCAGAACGCACACCGACGTTGGTACGTGAGGCACTCTGACGTTGTGCTCTTCTTGCCCTTTGACTGGTGGCCATCACTTCTTGTCCCTGTCGAAGCACACACTCAATAGCCGTGTGTGTGTTGCAGTGATGAGTGGTGTTGTGCGTGTGTTCGTCCCCGTCCAATCTGGGCGCCACAGCAGTCTATACCTTTTGGCAGTAGTGCACATATGTTTGCTGGGACCACACAGGAGGCAGTTGGAGGTTCGACGTGCGTAGATTCCAAGCTCGATTCAAACACAAGCGCTTGCTTTTTTTCTCGGTCAATAACAGAGAAGCAGAGAAGAGATACCGTCCGAACAAACTGAAGTTGTAGTGTCGTTGTACAATTCATAGACCATGCTGTAGGCTGTACTTTGGGCGTGCGCGAGGGATGCTGGTGAGATTCTGGACAAACTCCACAGGACAGCAAGCTGACAGCTGACCTATATACTGACCAACCGTTGCATCTATTCATACACCGACCGGCACACCTGCACACCAGTACAAAGATAGGCCTTGAAGCCCTTGAAGGGATGCGGCGATCATTGCGATTGGTTCGAATTTCGAACCCTACCTGTCGCGAAACCGTTGGGATCGAAGTGTCCCAACCGAATGTTACGATTCGAATCTTCCGAGCTTCCGAGTTATCATCAACCCAGACCCCGGCCATGTCATCCTTTCAGCGCAGATGTGCGGTGTGTGCTATCTTTTGACAGCGGTGTAAGGGTCAACGCTTAGCCCTCGTATGGTAGGTACATCAGCCCGCGTGAGAGTCTGGAGGACGACTCGTCCCCTCCTGATATTCCTCCTGTTATGCTCTCTTCCTCGGTCTCTGTCGTTGCCACGTTCTACCGCTGCGGCTTCTGCACAACGCTGGACTCGGCCCCAGACCAGCGTTAACCGTCCGGATCGGACAAAAAGCAACCTGCGCAATGGAAACCGGCCGAGAAGAACTGCTCGTTCGGTAAGCCCTGGCTACTACGTGCATAGCTCCTCCGCTGCTGGGGAGCAGCCTCAGTCTTATCTGTTCTTCGTGAATATTTTATTCGAAAGGGAAAGAAAGCCAACGGGATAACGGGATACAATTGTACTTGATCATAGTCTAAACCTTCAGTTGCTGACGTACCAACAATCCAGAGATCGTTGTTCCGCCATACCAAGAATGCAGAGAGACATCATTGGTTCGGCCACTGCACAGGAGTCACAATCGTGCTGAACGACTAGCAACTGGGCGAGCCACAGACAACAGGGTGTGTTGACAAGAGCGATCTTTTTGCTATGGCGTGAAGTTGCGCGAAATAGCCCAAGGGCGCGTCACCTATCTACCGCTTCTTTTTTTGTATCCACTTCGAATCAGCGCTCATAGCACAAATAGTCTAAATCAAATTTAATTTTTTTGGTCATGGACTAATTATTTAGTCTAGTCTAGTCTCGACAGGGAAATTTTCAAATTTTTCTACCACGACAATGACTGGTGCGTGTATAACTCCTGCGACACGACAAAGCGTACTTGGATGCGACGCAACCTTTCGTGGACCTGTGACATGCGTTTATAGCTGCTGCCGAGAAACGGATACACGTATGGTTGTCGCCGCGCAGAACTACCGGCCGAGGATGTGCTGATCTTCTTGCAAAACGAACAAACCGACAGCGGACAGCTGAGACGGCAAAGATATAGTAGCTGTCGCTAAAACGAGCGACAGCTGATAGATGTAACTGTCGTCAGACGTGTGCGTCCGCGGGAGGTGGAAGAGACCCTTTCTTCTTCTTTTTCTCTTTGCAATTCACGTCATTGGTTACCCGCGACGGCGCTGAAGACGCCCATGTCCGTGTACTTGACCCTCGTACTCTGTGCTAACTCCCCAAGTCTAACCTCTTCCTGCAGCCTAGCCTTCATCGTCGGCGAATTTCCAAGGTTACCAATCCTGTCGAAACTCATGGGCTCTACCATGAGGTCCACAAGTCTCTTCGCCCTACTGAGACAGACGAAAGTAAGCCCCGTGCAGGCCTCCTTGGGCCCCAAGTCAATGACGGCCTTGGCTAAAGTCTGCCCCTGGGACTTGTGCATCGTAATTGCCCAGCAGAGCCTAAGGGGCAGCTGCGTCCTGACCTGCGTCCCCCCGTCCTGCCAGGTGGTGTCGACGGGAGAAATAGGGACACAACGTCTATACCTCTCCTGAGACGACCATTCCCCCCCCGAGTACCCTTCAAACTTGACGACAACGTAAAGGGGGAG